TCCTCGATCAGGCTCAGCTTGTACGTGCGGAAGTCCCGTTTCTCATCTATGTATGTGACAGCAGCCATGAGAGGGCACAAGATAACCTTGGTGTGGTCCTGAGGGAGAGAACACATGGTCAGCCTGAGCACCGTGCTCCCTGAGGATGACATTTCCTCTGCATGTGCTGTACCAGCAGCACCTGCGGCATCCCGGCTGCACCCGGAGCATGGTGACAAGGCACCACTGCAGCTTTGCTTCAGAGTGCAGCAAAGGGGAACAGCCAGGTCAAAAACCCTGTACCTGACTGCAGCAGCCTCCCTCCTCCTCAAGGATACATGAGCAAGGAGGGTCTAAATGGCTCAGGTACCAGCACAGGGAGTGAGAAGCCTCCCAGTGCTCAGTTCCCTGGGCAAAGCTGTCATTCACTGGACAATGCCTTGGCTCAGGTTATCCCTCCCGTTGCCTTCTGAGCAGCACCATGTGCAGCCCTGGGAAGAGCCTCACCTGGAAGAAGTTGATCTGCACGGTGCCATTGCTGAGGTGCAGGATGATGGCACTGCGGGTCCGGAACCAGGTGCAGAGGTAGGGCAAACGGGCCAGCTCGTCCCCTTCCCGTGGTGTGATGTTTGCCCCTGCCTTCAGCAAGTGCTCACTCATGTAGTTCCTGAAGTACTTCAGTAGTGTTATCTGCAGATGGGACAGGCTGTTACCCCAGACACAGGGGGAGCATAAGGGCTACCATCACAGTCCCAGAGCATCCTTGGAGTGTCACTGCACAGACTTGTGCAAATCCTCAAAGTTAACTCCGACTGGGACACTTGAGATTCACTCTGCTGAACACTTTGGCATACACAAGTCATGCGAGCCCTTATTTCTGTGAAACTGCTCATAACTGAGCCTCAGATAGCAACTAGAGCTCGTTAAAGCTGGTAGGGTCTGTCTTTGGGGCTGTGCGTGACAGTGTGACAGGCCAAGAGGAAGTCCACAGTGCCAGTGACCCCCGATGCGTTTCCCTGGAACCCATCCTGCCACCACAGCCCAAGCATGGCAGGAGTCTTGCCACCCCCCAGCCAGGGCTCCTGCCCCTAGGACTGACCTTCTTGTTAAGGGCAGACGGGTAGGACCTCACTGTGAAGTAGGATTCGTTGTTGTTCTGCTCGATGTACTGCAAGTTGTCCCCATCGTTGTACATGATGAGGCGAGTGGAGTCATTGAAGAGAACCCCAACACTGTTGTCACACAGCTGGTAACCTAGCCCAAAGGGACCACAAGAGGCTTTCAAACACAGGATCACTGGCCATGGGAAATACCAAGGCAGAGGGTTGTATAACCCCAGGGTTCTCCGACAGCCACACCACCGAGTCCCTGCATGGTCTCCTCTTTGGGGAGGTCTGGGTGGCACTTTTCCACCTCTGGATTTGTTATCTCCCTTATTGCATCACCTGCTGCAGAAACAGCCTCAGCTGCCATCATCAGTACCTGTGCAGGCTGGAGAGAGCTCAGCCTTCTCATTCTCAGGTAACCATTGACCACTTTAACGTGGCCAGGCCTGATGCTCAGTAACCACAGCTCAGTATTCACTGGGTATTTGCTAACATTCCTGGCAGTAGGCTTGGGCACACACACAGGAATATCATGATTAAAAGACCCAGACATACACAATGCCCAAATTGTTGCTCATACAGTATTTACCTAGTCCATATTTATCTGAGTAGTCCACCCATTTGCTAACCCAGAAGATGGGAATGCAGGCTGGGTCCTCAGCTTCTTCTGCAAGAGGAAAGCAGCTTGTTGTTAGGAGACATTTCCCACACCTTATGCACTCCATGATGCGCAATGGGGCTGCCCCGGGCTCACCTTGTCTTACTGTCACTCTCTCTGAGGGCTTGGCTGTGTTGACTGCAGTTAGCTGCTGCAGCATGTCAGTCAGGTGGCAGCTGACAGCATCACCCCGCTCCAGTAGCCCTGCTGCCTCCTCCTTCTCTGGCAAGTTCTCCATGGCAGGGCTGTCTAGTCCTGGGCCGGGAGAGAGAAGAGTGCAGAGGTGTGATAAGGGAGAAGGCACCAGACTTAGACCCTACCCCAGCTACAAACAACGCATTACACACAGAATGGGTCAGGCTGGAAGGGACCACAGTGGTTGTCTGGTTTCATCTCTCTGCTCAAGCAGGGCCATCCCAGAGCACATGGCACAGGATTGCATCCAGATGGCTCTGGAATATCTCCAGTGAAGGAGATAGATACCCTCACTGGGCAATCTGTTCTGTCTTTGGTCAGCACGCAGGAAAGAAGTTCTTCCTTGTGTTCAGATGGAACTTCTAGTGCCTCAATTTGTGCCCATCACCACACACAGTAAAGCTAGTGCTGGTGCTTTGTTCCTGCTTTGGTCCCGGGCAGAGCAAGGAAAACCCTCTCACCCACAAAACGCTCTGAGTTTCCATAAGAATCAGGAGATGTGAGGCAACACTCACCTTTGTTGTTGAGTGCAGTCAGTGGCTTCCGCCCATGGAGCTCCAGCCCGCTGGAAGCGAGGGAGAACCTGGGCGCAACGGTGAGGCAGCTGGTGGGCAGGCGGCTGGGGATGTACCCTGTGGTGAAGAACTCATCGTTCAGCAGCTTGTCGATGGTTGGGCGTGTGGCAGGGTCAGGCCTCAGCATCTTCTGGATGAGGTTTGCAGCCACAGGGTTGATGTGCTGAGGGATAGATGGAGTTTAGGGACAGGGATCAGAGGACAAGTGACACTAGTGACAAATGAATTGGATTTACAATCCAGGGACGTTCTGCTTGGAGCAGAGCTCCAGTGCTGTTTCAGACAAGCAGGACACAAGCCTGGGGAAGCGGAACTGGGCAAGCACACAGAGGTGTCTCCTAACAGCACCCAAAGCCTGAAGTCAACTGACT